GTTTTGGGAAATTTAAAATGAATTGTGTTTAAGGCGTTAGATGATATAATAGTAGATGAAATGGTAGGAATTGTATAACTTTCCTAAATAGTGAGTATGGATGTAAATCATGAAATCGTTGAGTAATGCCTTTAGTGGTTTGTTTATTACAGTTTAAATCAATTAATTTCAAAATTAGAGTTACACATACATTTGTACATTCCATATTCAATGTCCCTTCTTACATCAAATACTACCTTTTTGGTGCGAGGTCATTAAACTAAAATTGAATATTAACAGTCACTGAGAATAATCGGATTTTAATGAAATTAAAATTTTTCTTGGGTAGAAAACGTTCGTTAAGTTTTCTTTGCTTCAAAATGCAAGGGAAAATTTCTTATTGGGTGTACAACTTTATAATATTGAGTTGTAGCGTGTAAGCAATTTTTACATCTGCCGTGCAGACACTTCCTGTTTGCCAATTGTTTGATTTTTTTTTACATCACTCATTGTACAAGTATATTTTCGTCAAAGTTTTCTTGGCATCTATGCAAAGGAATGATTTTATATTTATTCTACTGCTGGATAAATAAATAAGGGTCTGGATTGGGGGTCCTCAATTCTGTATTCTTTAAATTTTTTAGCCATTTTCTCTATTCTTTATAAATTCTTCCTGATATTCTCTATTCTTTATACTTTAGCACCCCGTTTTTCTCTATTCCTTATAAAAATGTTTGCCTATTTTTCTCTATTCTTTATATTTTTTTCCCTTGATTCTGCATGTTTTGTCCATTATTCTCTATTCTGTAAACCCCATCCAGACCCTCATAAATGCTAAGTTGTGGCGTGTAAGCAATTTCAACATCTGCCATGCAGACACTTCCTGTTTGCCGATAATTTGAAATTTCACAACACTCATTGTACAAGGACAATGCTTGTCAATATTTTCGTGGATTTCAATTGAGGGAATGATTTTATATTTAGTCTGCAACATAATAATGTTGAGTTGTAGCGAGTAAGCCATTTTTACCTCTGCCGTGCAGCCATTTCCTGTTTGTCGTTAGTTTTAAATTAGTTTTAAATTCTACAGTTTTAATTGTATAAGCAAAGTTTTCGTGGCTTCAACGAAAGGGAAAAATCAATTATGCTTTAATACAAAAAAAAGGAGATGCATGTGGTATGATTGTAAATGAGACAACTATCCATCAGAGTTCATGTGACGTTGATGTAAATAATTATAGGTCATGCCATGTTGTATAAAAACCCATACCGTATTATAGACAGCTTCATGTATAAAAGACCCCCTCATGAAAAATGTGAAGTAATTCAAACGAGAAAACCAACGGCATAATTTATAGCAAAACAATTTAGGAATCACAAATATGACAGACATGAATCAACGACAACGTTTACATGTTACCTCAATCAATGCATGCATCGACGCAGGTCCAGACACGGTATTGGTCATTTTTTGTAATGTAGTTAATAAAGCAAGAGGTATATGTTTTATTCTGTTAATTTTCATTAGAAAACACGATAAGAAAACATAATATTGGATTTTTATGTTATAAGGATGATAATTAAATATTAATCAATTAAGTTTTTTTTCCATCTAACCCTCTTAAAGTTTAACCTTATCATTAACCCGTAGCCCACACACCTGAAGAGATATGTCAATGTGGGGAAAGCACGATGTGAATTTTTAATACGGGAAAAAGTGTCGTCAGGAAGTAGGATACGTAGTTTAAGAAATGCCCAACAAGTACATTCCGGTGCGGGACAGAAATATGTAACCATTTAAAACGCTACTTACAATCATACTATCAGGCTTATTAAGAACATACTACTTGTAAGTAGAAGCACTCCTTTGGAGTTTATTTTTGCAATGACATGTTGGTATAAACTGGTAACAACTCACAATATTCAATTTAACACCATCCTTCCTCAAAAAAGTCCAAGACACAAGATTTCACAATCATTGAAGTCTCTTTTCAATAGCTGGAATATTTGCTAAACAGTTTAAAATGGGACTGGGTCTTTTTTGTGTAATAGGCCAAACTAGGTGCAAATGGAATGAATTGCCTTAGGTAACATTGGTCAAATGTACTAGTGGGGGTATCCCACGGATGGCCTACCTTTGGTCCAAACTTAAGTCTGACATTCCTAACCCCAAACCAATATATTATGTCAAATATTTCCCAAGGTAATAAATTCTTACCACACTAGGTACAAATAGAAGATAGTGGTCTAAGTAATCATGGCCCAAATGGACCAGTTGGAAAAATCAGAGATGACCCATATCATAGGTTTTTACATGCGATTTGGCATTCCCACCCACCCCCCTTTTTTCCTTCAACTTTTGTCAAAATTCCCTATACATATATATAGCAATACTCTTTTCCGCATTAGTTGATTTAGTAAAAATGAGTTCAAGTTGATTTTCACTTTATATTGATTCAATTTTCTTTTCTCTGATTAGTAATATATGGATGGATGTATCGTGTGTAATGTCCGGTGGCAAATATAACATGAATATCAGGTTGAGAACTGCTGATGTTTTAAGAATATTTTGTAACATGAATGGTAATTTTTCCTTTGATCTTCGAGTGAGTTAACTCCGGTTAATTTTAGAGGAGTGCGTTAACTGAATGATTTTTTAGTTATTGCACTCTCCCGTCCCGCCGTGTGTCGCTTGTCATAGGAAAAGCAAAGAATGGGAGGAGCTTATACCAGTGCTCTTACTTCCATCTCATAAGTTGTTATTTCACGGTCTAGCTCCGCCTTTTTGGCCTAGTAAATTATGAAATTAATGACCATAAAATGTTCTTATAAATTTAAACAAAATGCATACACAACAATATATAAAAAATAAATCGGGAAAAAATGTTTATCTCTTGACCCAACAGCCAATCTAGTAATCGATGGTTTTATTGTTTTGAGAAAGGAAGAATACCTCCACAATAAGTAATAAGTTTAAAAAGCGTTTCCTTCTGTCACCTCTTCTAAAACTACACGTCCTATTGGTTTTGAAAGCAGGCAGCATGGTATACATCTAACAAGATTTTGCATCTACACCCTCAAGAATTTTCTCCGGGGGGGGGGGGGGGAATGGCACTTCAATAACGCATACCTTTTTTAAAATATATATATTCAGTCTAGGTGGCAATGTGGTCTAGAACGCTGGACACAGTGCAGGCGGTGTTGTCTCGATATCCCAATAGCATGAGTTCGGTTCCCGGCGAGGGAAGAACAAAAATTAGCATTTTTTTTAGGAATATATATATAACTACTCTAAATATCAGCACAACAATGTTAAATCTGCAAATTTGCGGAAGCAATGTTTTGTTCAGCGTTTTGTCCAGCGTTCTAGACCACATTGCCACCTAGACTGAATATATATATTTTAAAAAAGGTTTAGGGAGGACAGACTTATTCGGGAAAGATTTTGGATACGAAAATTGAAAACGTTCACACCAAATGGGATCAATCGGAAAAGGTGTAGTTCTAATCGCGCAGTGCTTTTCATTTGAATTGTAATATTACGCAGTCTCTGTTGTAATTCCTTTACCTAAGTCAACTTTAAAACTCCAGAATTATACCAGTTTAAATCGCACGGTGCTATCCATTTGTGATGTATAAGGTCGCAGCTACGTGGTAATTACTTTACCTTCGTCAAAAGTTGAAATTCAAAATTATATCAGTTCAAATCTAACAGTGCTATTCGTTTGGGATTTATAATTACGCAGTCTCTGTCGTAATTACCTAACCTTTGTCAAATTTGAAATTTTAGTATTAATCCAGTTCAAATCGGTCAGTGATATTCATTGTGAATGTATTTCTATGCAGTCTCTCTTGAAATAACTAGTCTTTTTAGAAGCATATCTATGCAACCTCTGTTGTAAATACTTAACCTACGTCATTTTAATACAAGAGTTGTTCGGTTTTTAATTGTATAACTGTAAAGATTGTTTCAGTTAAATCAGATTGATATGATTCATTTAACATCCATATACTGATGAGAAGGATAACTATGATCCGAAATAGTTATAGATACTTATATTTAATGTTTCCTTTTTTTAATATTGGTGTTGTTTTGTACACATTTTAGGCGTATATATACGCGTCTAAACATGTGACAACATTATGACAGACATTCTTCATCGGATAACACGTGGTTATACAGGGCAAACACCATACTATATATATAATTCGTCTCAAATTTAGCCCAATAATGTTAGATCTTCCAATTTGCGTTAGCAAATTTTTGTTCTTCCCTTGCTTCTGTGACATCGTGGCAACACCGCAGGCACCGTGTCCAGCGCCCTAGACCACTCGACCACATAGCCTATATAAAAATATAGCTTTCTGAAAGACACTCGACTACATAGGCTATATAAAAATATAGCTTTCTGAAAGCTATATTTTTATATAGCCTAGGTGGTCGAGTAGTCTAGGGCGCTGGACACGGTATATATAGGGGAAAATAACACTTGATAAATATTATGCGTCTGAATCGAAGCGCTTATCTGAATTTACCTTCATCAGAAACACTTAAAACCAAAAATTTGAAAGCCAAGGATGTAGAAGCCCCTTAAATCATCAAAGGGATCATACCTTGACTGTTTGAGCAGAAAAAAATTACAGAAAATACAAATCAGACACAACTAAAAAGGTAAATTTCTGTCCAAGACAGATGCCCAAACAAGATTACTATGATCGAAACAACATCAGCAAAACCCTAAATGTGTGTCGGTTTTCTGTCGTTGGGAGACTGTCTCGTTGACAAATATCCTGCTCTCCTTTAAATTTATATTCAACAATAATGAAAACTTAAGTTTAGACAATCACGTTTAACCCCAATAAAAGCTGTACTACTATGAGGTGTTCCGAAAGAAAAACACTATCTTGCTTCCACGTATACTAGTATTTACATGAAAACACAAACAGGGTTCACATTGGCATAAATAGTAGGGCATATGGTAATATGTGAATTTATTCAATATTAAAAATATTTTTGCTGTGTCAACGAAGTTGTCAATTGTCTACATCTCCTAGGGGAGTTCAGAGGCTGATTGACACTCACTGGTACATAACTTTCTCGTCCTCGTAATTACACGTGCAGCCAACGTACAGTAAACCATTCGTTTTAACATTAAATCCAGTATCGCCGACTTGACGACATTTACCTTGTATATCTCTGCATTCTGTGTAGTAAAAATAAAACATTTTTTATTAACATTATTGTATTACTTTTATAGTTATGCAATACACAACAGAATAAAAGAAATTGACATTGGCAGAATCAACTTATTGTAAATTAGATTTACGGGAACTGGTGAATCATTATATATTGTTCGGTCACTATTTTTGAATTCTTGGGTTAATTTTTTTATTTATTATTGGCTTTCATTGTTAATCAAGAATGAAAAAGCAAGGAATTTGAATACCTATCGTGGTATGACCTTATTTGAGACTGAAGTTACTTCACTTGACTGTGTAATATTTTTTTTTTATTCAACTAGGAAATCACGGTAATCCATTGCAAACAAAGTAATAAGATGTTTCATTATATTTAAAAATAAACGTTCACTTGTATACTATTGAATAAGTAAATATTGTTTTGTATGAGATAAGTAACTGCTGTATTATATTGATATTGAAAAAAGAAAAGCTCAAGCGTTGTATTACATTGGATAAGTTAGCTAAGTGTTGTATAATATTGAGATAGTGAGCAATGTATTCTTTTGAATAAGTAAACTTTGTTGTTATATTAAAATAGTAAGTGTTGTTCTTTATTGAATCAGAAAGTGTGCATTAAGTACATATTTACATAATGAAATCGAACGTCAATTTTATCAACTTCAGTGATGTTCTACATTCTTATTTTGATAACAATGACTCGGAGAATAAAGCACAAATTAATTCATTCATTCCATATGACTGAGAAATTTTGTAATCCACAAAGTGTATTTGTACTCAATTACGATTATTAAATAATTTTCAAAATAAATTTTTCATCTTGCTGTCGATTCATTTTACTTATTAATATACTTACTCACCATGTTTAATTATCTTTTCGAAATAATTAAGTTAAACCTTCGACGTTACACGATTTGGTCACACACTGACTTTCTGTATTTTCATCCCATTGAGAACCAACAGAGTGACACTGCCAAGATGCGTCTTTAAATCCTGTTTGATAAAATAATGTTGTGTGTAGTAGAATATGATGAGTACAGGGGTATTCAGTTAATCGAACACTTCTTTAAAATTTTAAAATTCGGTGCTTTAAGAAGATTAGCTTTTTTGTGTTTAGAGTGTTCTTTACTTTCCTTACATGCATTTTGACAAAGATCGAACTTGTCAATGTATTTATAGATGGTGGAGTTTATCTGCAGAAAAAATAGTAAGTAATTCATTCCTGAGATAAATTTTAGAAATAGATCCTTTAAATATAAATGTCAAAACACAAAAAAAAAGTTAGGTGTAATTTGTAGTATTTATTTGAACATCTATAAATCGCCGGACAAGCTGAAAATCTACTTGTATAATTATATAGCATTATATAACGAATCCAAGATTAACGACCTCTATCTAAGTTAAGTACAATCGTGCTAGAATTACTATAAAAACAGAAAGAAATAGGACGTCAAAGCATAGAACGCAAAGTTTGCGTAGGTCAAATACAAATAGAATTTATTAAATGAAATTACTGTACTCTATTAGCAGAACCCTAACAAACTTCCGTAAGGAAACAGGAATGTGCAACAACCAATCACGTTAGACCCTTTTAAATGTTTTCCTAAGAATGACTAAGTTAGAAAACTTGCATTATTTTTGAAAAATGGTACATTGCGTTTATATTCCGTAAAGTGTTAACAAGTAACAATGATGATTAAAGACATGTTTAAAAATGCATACCACTGAGTGTTACCGTTGCTGATTAACTATTTGTCCCCGATTCAAACATCTGCCAAGACGACAGTATTTCCATAAAGGCCTAATTCAAGTTGACTCATTATGTCTCACATTAAAATTCCAGTTCATAAATCATGTAACTGTACTTTGAACTAAAGTTGCAACCCCGTACCTGCCAACTTTTCAAAATCTCCATGGTGGATTTTAAGTGCAGGAGGACATAATGCTCCTCTTATATTGTCATAAGTGTTTTTAATCACTACTATATTGTTTGAATGGGTATATATATATATATGTGCTTAAATGCCCTTTTAACTTATTTGAATGCCTGTTTTTAGGTGTTCAGTTTATATGATTAAGAATTTCAAAATTCAGGCCAAGACCTCTTTTGGGGGATATCCACCATAAATAGGGATAGTTGTCAGGTCTGGTAAAGTTGACCCTGTGATACTTCTGTTGTTCTGTTCATGTCTTTTGGGTATTATGTTCCCAATCGTTTTATACATTCTGCTTTCAAACTTTATGACTTGAGAGCACCGGATGAAGGTATTTTAGAAAAGTGTCGTACGTATGAAAATCTGGATATAGATATACGGCTATGTTTTTTTTACATAGAAAGCGATTCGCACATCTAGTATTCGTCAATCAAACGCAGTATTTCGAATATTGTCCACAAAGTAATTTTAGTATGTATAGAAATAATGCCAAAGTGAATTGTGGCAAATATATCAGACTTGAATTTGTTCTTCTCTCACTTGAAAACATCAACAATTTAATAAAAGAAAAGACAAATCGACACGAGAGCAGTTGGAAAGGAATAGACACGTTAAACACTATCCTCGAAAATAAGTTCGGTGAATGTGATGAAAGCTGAAGAACTCCTTTCGTCCTACTGCAGGAATACTGTACACACTCTACACCCCAGTCAGATTGGTTTATGATAGAATAACATTTCCCGTCACCCCCTAGGCATTCTGCAAAACAAAACAATGATACATATATGATTAATTCCAAGTTAAAAAATATATATAAGAAAATAAAAAAGAAGAAAATGCATATATATAGTTGTATTAAAAATCGTTCACATTGTTCACATTGTTCCTACCGGTTTCACTTCTCACGGAAGATATTCATATATTCCTAACATCACTGAAGAGACATTAATTGTCGAAATCCGGATATGGTGTACAAAAACCTTTGCACCTTTTGTTTGCGGTATAACATCTTTTCCGCAAGTTTATTGTTTTCTGTTTAGTATTAAATTTATATTTAAGATCCATTTATTACATCGGTGATCCGTTTATTTGGCAATCGCCAATGGCAGTCAGCAGGGTTTAAGAACATTTGTTGTTCGACATGTTAGTCAAATGCGTTTTGTTAAAATATACTTTTTCACTTTTTTGGTCTTTTGGAAAATGTTGTTTGTGCTGTATTTAGACCCCTCTAACAAGAAATTTGTTTTGCATGCACACGTATAAAAATTGCGGTTTTTATCCAATGCAATCATAGGTTTGAACGTTGTTTTCAATTTAGACTTGTTTATATATATATATATATACACGTGTAAACATGTGACAATTTTATGACAGACATTCTCCATCGGATAACACATGGTTATACAGGGCTAACACCATAATTTATATTTTATTCGTCTCAAATTTAGCCTTATTTCTTCCCTCAGCGGGATTCGAACCATTAAAGCTTATATCTAGAGAGCTAGCATGTTAAAATCAAACTCAGATTTACGTTCTAATGCAAAGCAAGGGTTATTTTCATATGACATGGAGACAATCTAAGCTGTTTCTAAGATGTTTTGAAAAAAAAGATATCTAGTTGTTTGTTGGTGTTCACTGCTGTTCATCATATATGTTTTCGTTTCTTGTTTTGTACAGTTAGTTCTGTTGCACACCTGTCCCTGATTTCGCCCCCTAATATGTTTAACCCCGCCACATTATGTATGTGTCCATCAAAATGTCAGGAGCCTGTTATTCAGCGATTGTCGTTTGTTGCTTTATATCATATTTGTTTTTCATTTATTGTTTTGTACATAATACATAATTAGTTTTCTCGTTTGATTAGTTTTCGATTGTCATTTCGATGCAATTTATAGACTACTGTGCGGTAGGGGATTTGCTCATTGTTGAAGACCATACGGTGAAAAATAGTTGCTTTCTTCTTCATCTGGTCTCTGGTGGAGAGTTGTCTCATTGGCAATCATACCACATCTATTTATTTCTATAGTAACGACTTTAAAATAATGTATTCAACAAATCTGCCAAGAATACGATACATCAATATATCAAAAACTTTACACAGGTTGTTTTCAGTATACAAGCTGTAATGCATATAATCTGTTTCTTTTTCAAATCTATCGCGAATACTCTTGAAGATACAAAAAAATGTAACCTCTGACATATCCGCCCCAAAAATTGAGCCTTTGTATACTCTTCGGTCTAGGAATTTTTAAATGTGTATTTCAGCTTTGATAACCTGTACTTTTTTTATATCAATAGGTAAAATGTGTAAACTTTTGTGATACTGAAGGGTTCTCCGTCACGGTAAGAAAAAGAAACTAGTAAAATGCTTGATAATATGAATACGATTATTTATTATACTTTTTGAAATGTTTCAATAAATCTATATATTATACTCTTGAAACTTCAACAAAGGAAAACGTGGATTAGCATTGAAAGTTTTACACTAATCTTGTACTACAGACTGAAGTTTGTCTACCACTTGGTGACAAGTTCATAAACTTTGACTATATCAGAGTCCATTTGAGTGACAATAAATCGTGTGTTTTTCTGTTGGAATAGAATTGCATACGGATTATATATATCATCCTTGCCTGAAAGGGCAATTTTGACAAATGTACCGTCTGGAAGAAGCTGATGCACATTATTTGAATCAATTCCACACACATAAATATTCCCCTCTGCGTCTTTTGCTATCCCACGTGGAGAACAGAGTTCCGGGTCTTTATATCGGAATATCTCTTGCCCTTTCTTATCATGACATGTGACGGATGCCTTTGTAGAATAACAAATGCTTGATGCTTTTGTACTTAGCACATATCTCGCTCCTCGATTTCCGACAGGCATAGTCGAAATAGATTTTGTTTTCAAACTTAGCATCCTATTCTCATTTGAACAAGCTATATAGATACTATCCCCATTTCTGTGCAAGCCATGGCCACCACTGCCAATTTCATACTCGTCATCTTGTAGAACCCTCCATTGTCTATCTTTACGACTTTCGCATTTGAATCATTAGGAAACGTTACCAGCATAGTGTCACCTTCTAAATCATCACTTTCTAAAAAGCATACATCCCATGGATTATCCTGTAGAACAAGTTCATTTGTCATCGTATATGTCGTATTGAAGCACTTCAACTTCCGGTTGCGGTAATCCGCCATTACGATTAAACCACCTTGTAAGAATATCCCACCTGTAAACCAACAATGCCCAGTATCAGACCAAGATTTGCCCGACATATTTGCAATCACTGAAACGTGCATATCTTTGTAGAATGAAGGGACTATGTTGGTTGATTTTTGTTCTATTGACACGTTCATATGTAAGCTATAGTCATGGCGTAAAATGTTCTCACTTTGTGATCTGATGTAAAGTTCGTGAAGTTCACATTGTTTTCTGAGTTTGAAAGCAGTAAGGAAGATATCTTTGTCAGATCCATAATCTACTGAGGCAGTAAGAACTCTTTTTCCATTATCGCAATTGTTAAATATATGTTCGAAATTCCGAGTCTGCAGTTGAAGTTCTTCGGTCAACGACTCGTGTGTTTGATGTATTTCTTCTTTCAGTTTTGTTTCAAGTGTCTCAAAGTAACTTTGCATGTCTGTTCTTGTTTTATTAACTTCAGTAAGAATGTCTTCCTTTTGTTTTAAAATGTCATCCATGTTGGTTTTCCTGTCTTCAACAACGGAAACAGCTTGTTTTTCTAATTCATTCATTCTATAAACTAGCGGATCCAGTCTTGTTCTGATACCCATAGAAGCCTGTTCTAAAGTTCGGACCATTTTACACTGTCTGTGATTTTCTGATATGCACTCGACGCAGCATATATCAGTGTGGTCGTCACAAAACGCTTCTACGTATTTTCCACCATGTTGGGAGCACAATTCGTCAGTGTCAGCAATCTGTTTTGGTTATTTTCGCATTTCGTCTAATGTAACAATTGTATGATCCATAAGCATTTTCACTTTAGTGTGATAATTAGCACAGCTCTCGCACAGAGTTTCGCCGCAATCTTTGCACCATGACGTAGCATCTTTCATGTTGTCACATCGCTTACAAGGGTCACACTTCTGAGAATTTTCCAAAGACATGTTCTCCAAGAGAAAAGTAACGATAGCACTTGAGGAAAAGAAACGTACCCAAGTTTCGATCGGTAATGACGTATCAGGAATTTTATTATCTGTTTGGCAAGACGGACATTTAAAACATTGTAAAGACTTTCCCTCACTCTCTACTAACTTGGTAATATATGCGGATAAACACTGCTCACAAAATGAATGCATACAATTCAGACATTTGGGTTTAGTCATTGAACGTTCACATATCTTACAAGTCACTAATTTTACTATATCATGTCGTCTAAGTTTTACACCCATCTTTTCAATATATCATATCATAATATCCTTATACGACTTCACATATATTTTATGTTTATAGTATTGAAGTTTGATTTTATCCGCTGTATATGTTCAGTTTGGCATATATTTTAATGTTTGTGTATATGCATATATAGACAAAACCACGGGACAACTATCATTTAAATACATTAACCATAGAAAAGAATTGATCGGAACAGTGTTCCTTTTAAACTTATATCAAGTGAAAAATTTACATTGAATTAAAGGCCTATTTTCAATAGCAGTATTGAACCGTTTGAAATATTTCTTTTAAAAGCAAATTTATCTGGTATTGATATTCGTGTAATGTAAATACATACACGTTTGAATTGTCGAAGTTTATATTTCGACCATAGTATACCATGATATCTAACTACTTTGAACTTGAGGAGATAACCATATTGAATAATTTAAAAGGTTAACCGTTTTACCATTTTATTAGAATATCACACAATATAAAATCAGCAAAACTAAATACTATAGAAATAACAAAGCATAATAAAGAAAAATCCTATCTATTTATATGTTAGTGCCATTGAGCTTTCATATTTATTCTATGTAATAAGGTAGTTCGGTGGTTTAAACTAAAAATGAAAGAATTTCTTTAAAGTTTGCCAAACTGTACTTTAAAGATATACGAAGATGTGGTATGAGTGCCAATTAGACAACTCTCCATCCAAGTCACAATTTGTAAAAGTAAACCATTATAGGTCAAAGTACGGTCTTCAACACGGAGCCTTGGCTCACACCGAACAGCAAGCTATAAAGGGCGTTAAAAATGAATTGTGTAAAACTATATATAGCACTATTTATGAAATTTATAAGAGCTGGCTTTCAGCCACAGATACGTGTTGTGCAAAATTATCTTAATTTATAAAAATATATATTATATATATATATAATTTATATATATATATTCCGGCCGAGAAGAAAAAAAATTGCTTTATTTGAACTGGAAGATGATAAAAGAGATTGTTTTCTTTGCTTAATACAAGTACGTGAAAAAGAAAAAGTGAGGTCACTGAGCTTGTTTTCTTGCTACGTAAAACAATGTGTAAATTCATTGCACAATTCATTATGATACTGATTAAGTCAGTACACTGTATATGTACGGAATATTTCATTACTGTTTTAGGTATATTCTTACTTATACACATTGATATTGTAAAATATCAGCCTCGAACCACAATGTGAATCTCTTTGGTGTCGATTGCGTTTTTTTTTTATACATGTAAGAAAGACAGTCGCAATCAAAATCAAGGAGTAAACAAAGACTCATAAAACCAAAGTGCATTTACAACAACAGTTGGCCGGGATTCGAACTCATTC